GTATTATATAATATAAACAGAGCTTTGTCATTAAATAACTCCCTTACTTTGTGTAATACTGCAATGGATTTGGCTGTTTTTGTTTTTAAATGGTTTATGTGAGATTTCCAACCCAAAAACTTCACTTCACTGACTCTATAAATCACAACACCAGTTCTAAACGGACCATCTACAGTTCTCTCTTTTTTTTTTACTAAATGTCATATAATTAGTTTTATCCTAATTTAGTGACAGTTTATTAAGTTTAAACCAGGTTTGTATTTTTACAAATTCTGTTTGCATTATTTCCATCATCCGTTGTATATCATTACCCAAACAAAAAAATGTGGTGTCATCTGCAAATAAAACACATTTAAACAGCCCTGACACATTAACCAGATCATTTACATACAAAATAAATAACTTTGGTCCAAGTACAGAACCCTGTGGAACTCCACATGTGATATTGCTAAGTTCAGATCTGACATCATTTATTTGCACAAACTGTTTCCTATTTTTCAAATATCTAGATACCCACTGTAGTACTGGACCTCTTATACCATATTTATTTAGTTTTTCAAGAAGAATACTGTGGTCAGTGGTGTTAAATCCACATAAATACAAGCACAGTACTGTTTTTAATCAACAGTAGTTATTTGTTCTGTAAGTTCAATGAGAGCCATTGATGTAGAATTATTAGCTGTAAACCCAACTGACTGCACTTAGAATGTTTTATCAATAAATTTATCTAATCTTATCACAAATAATTTCTCCAGAATCTCTGAAAACTGTGGTAACAAGTATATTGATCGGTAAAACCTTAAAAAAAGAATCAGAAAATTCTCATTTTTTTAGAACTGATATGTTTATTGGGCCTTTAAACAAAATCCAAATTAGTTTTTTTTTGCCACATCACTTTGTGTATGATCTATTTTTTGTATCAAATCTGATACACTGGGCTGTTTTGGTAACATTTTGCTCACAAAAATGTTAAATTAAGAAACAAAAGACAGTTTTGCCCATAACTTTTAACAAGTTTAGAACAGTGTAAGAAGTTTACTTCTTTGTTTTTTTACAATGAAGTTTTTACAGCCATTTATTTCACTTGGTGGTAAACACAAATACAGTTTGTGTCCTTGTTCAGGCACAGATGTACCTTACACTTTATAAAAAATACCATCTATTATCATATTGATGACATTTTCTTACTTTATTTTTTCTCTCTTCTTCCTCAGTTTTCTTTGACATCTAACATGTAAATATTTAGTCAGAACAGCGTAGAGATAATTTCAAAGGAATCACTTTGAAAATAGCCTAAATATGTTTTCAAATATCATTTCAGTAATTAATCAATCATCCAAAATAGTGTGTGTTGTACTGTGGCAAGAATAATGTTGATTAAATGACTAAAATGTCACATGACATTCAGGACTTATATACCTGCAGTATCAAGTTTGATACACAACTTTTTAACACGGTTTAACTATTAAAAATATTTTAAGTAATTATGCATTGTTTCAACACAAAGTATTTATTAAAAAATTACAAACAATATTGATGTTATTCTTACCATAACTTCTCCAAAATTAGTAAAAGTTTTCCTGAAAAAACCGTGTGGATGACGTCATGTCAGCAGACATTTTGAAAAGTTCCACTTCCTGCAGGACATTGATGATCCTCCAGGGGGCAGAATACAGGTCTCACATTTTATACAACAGGTTTTTGAGGAAAATATTGACCACGTTGATAAAATATAGGTCACAGAATCCTGTGTAGCAAATATGATACAAATGGTGATACAAACATATATTTCTCACCATTCTTATAAAGAGGGACTTCCTCTACTACCTCAAATATACAGGTATTGATCTAAAATCTGATGTAGTAGCTGAGAGTCATTCTCTAAAACATGACATCTGGTCACATACATTATTTTTAAAGTTTGAATCTGTAAAATAGTGTTTTTCCTTATGTTAATGTTGATGTGTTCCTCAGGTGGCCTTTGAGAAACGTCTGGAGCGACTGAATCATGATCTGGGATCACTCCGAATGACTCTGAAGAGATTTCATGTCCTCCGCTCTTCTGTCAACACGTAGCAGTGACTTCCTGTCTGACTGTTTGTTTGTCTGATTGTCTGTTTGTCTGACTGTCTGTTTGTCTGACTGTCTGTCTGTCTGTTTGTCTGACTGTCTGTTTGTCTGTTTGTCTGACTGTCTGTTTGTCTGATTGTCTGTCTGCTCACAACAGCTTCTGATCAAACTGAGGGACTGTTTCATTTGAAATGTCAAACATTTTGAAACTGTTTCAGGTGATTTGACTGCATGTTGCACATGCTGTATACACAACCACACACAGCCACACACAACCACACACAACCACACACAGCCACACACAACCACACACAACCACACACAGCCACACACAACCATACACAACCATACACAACCATACACAACCACACACAACCATACACAACCACACACAACCACATCACGCAAAAGCTGTCAGTGAACAACGTTTCTGATGATGTTTCTGTAATAATGACAAACTCATTACTACATTAACAAGGTTCAGAGCCATCTAATAACTTTTTGGTTATCTCCATATATGTTTTTATGTACTTAAGAGATGCAATAAAAGAAAAAGGAGAAATTTGAAGACTTTAAGGTGTAAACCACTGACAGGCTCACTGTGAATGTGTGTTTGGTTAGGGGAATGTGATGTAACTGTTGTTCTGTGACTGACAGGACTGCTGTTCAGACTGGGAAATATTCCTGGTTCAGACCACCAGTGAAGGTGGGGCGTGGCACTGAGGAGCTAAAGACAGAATGTGAACAAGCTCTGAATGTCCTGTTTTATTCTGCAGCGTTGATCCAGTGTGTTTGTGTGCCATCAGCTCATCTCTGCAGACACACAACACTGCTATATGCATAACTTTTTAATACTCTGGGATATTTTTCTATGTTGCAAAGATCTGGAGAATTTTTGAAGTCTATTTTTAGTAAAACAGATTTATATAGGGAGTTACTTTTTTAGGCACTGAGATGTAATTATAAAGGATTTGTTTTACCTCATTGGTCCAGATTTAAACTGCAGAACATGTGAACGCTCACAACTAACCCTTTGTCTGACCTGTGTAATGTCACTGCCATGTTTTATTTTGTTTAAGAAGAATTTGAATGTTTTTAAATTGCATTTTTTTGTCCTGCTTTTGTTTTGTTTACATATTCTGTTTGGGAATATTTGTTTACTTGAATCAAATAGTTTTAATTTCAGCTGAATTGTGTATTTTGTTCAGTTGTTTATTGATGTAATGATTTAATTTGACTGCAGCACCCAGTGGTCGTGGTCCAAACCAAAGCAGAATGTAGACGGTTTCCTGCAGATATGATGCTAAACATGGATTTACAAACTCTTTCTACATTTTGTGTTTCCACAGCTGCATGACTTTATTGGACCTGTAAAGTTGTTGCACAATAAAATAACCTTTTTATATAAACTGAAGTACTAATGTTTTACAGCTCATTACAACAAACTAGTTTAGCAATATTTTTGAAATTTTTTTAAAAATGTGTTTGTAAAATAAAAACAAGACTCAGGGTTAAGTTCTACTATTATTTGCTTTCACTTAGCATTTAGCTGCTTTTATCTAGCATTCTGCTACTTTTAGCTTTTTTCTGCTATTTCAGCTAAAATTCTGCTTCTTCTTTTCTTCTGCTTCATTTGAAGTTTTATGTAGGTTTTTCTGTTACTTTGTGCTCTTTATGCTTCTTACACCTGCTTTTTGCTATATTCAGCTATTACAACTTATTTCTGCTAAGTTTAGAAAATGTGTGCTCCTTATGCTAATTAAATAACTTACAGCTACATTTTAACGGTTTTACTGAGAATTTCAGCTTTTATAGCTGTTTGACTTCAAATTGGCACTTTTTTGTACTTTTTTGCATTTTTTTCCTGCTAATTTAAATTTGTTTTACACAACTTTCATTATCTGGGTGTTAATTACAACTTGTGGCTGCTACCTTTCACCTTTTTTGTGTTAATTTTAGCTTTTTTCCAGCTTTTGATCTGCTTCTTTCTGCTCTGATGTTTTCGCTTTGTTGAGTTTTTCCTGCTAATTTGTGTTATTTATGCTCCTTACATGTTTTCAGCTATTTTAGCTGTTTTCTGTTGTTTTCAACTAGATTTTTGCTCCTTTTTACTGTTTTCTGCAAAGTTAGTTATTTTTTTCTTTTTTCTTTTTTGCTCACAGCATTTCAAAGTGAGTTCACTTTAACACTTCTGCTATTAGATATTTTCAGCTCACTTTCAGCAGCTTTCAGCTTAAGTTTTTAGCGTGAAGCATTTGGCATGAAGTAAGAGGCAGTTTCTCTGGTTAATATTAGCCTGGTTTAAACCAGACCCTGTCCTTCACTTTGCTTCGTACAAGGGTCTGGACTTGATGCGTAGAGAATCGACTTCTTGCAGGAGGCGTGGCCTCTGCTGAAGTTTAAAATGATTGAATCAGTTGGCTGCGACGTATGTCGCTGTGGCTAAGCTAAGAAGCTAACAGAAATCACATGTGCTGTAAACAACCCTACTGAGAGGAGAGAAGTACGGAGCTGAACGAGACGACTGTAAATGAGAGCTGCTGCTGTGTCAGACAAATTTAATTTAATTTGAAGTCTTATCAACACAGACTGGCTTCATTCACTTCCTCCACTGCCGTATGCTAAAATAACTAGCAGACACTGAGCAGAACGTTGGTTACGTATTGTAACCCCAGATTCTATGAGTGTAGCCCTCTAAGGCTATCGCAGATGGGTACCCCCGCGCGCGCTCGCGCATTCTGAAGAACCAATAGTCCACGCCCACGTCACGTGGGCCTCACCTCGGTCCGTATAAAAGGGGAGGACGGACCTGAGTTCAGCTCCCAATAGCTTACTTTTTCTTCAGCTACGGAAGCCGGTGAGGCCCCGATCCTTAGAGGGCTGCGCTTACACTCATAGAATCTGGGGTTACAATACGTAACCAACGTTCTATTTCGTGTAAGCTCCGCCCTCTAAGGCTATCGCAGATGGGTATTAGAGGCGGAGCCTGATGTAGTCTACGCCTCACCGGCTTGACATACACGTGAAGCTTCCGCCCAAAACACCCCTTGTGATGTTGCACAAGCAAAAAAGGCAACAGCAAAAACTGATTCACATAGTGAACAGATTTGCATGATCCCTTGTGTTCATCACATAATCCAGATGATGTGAAGAAGAGACAGCACACTGTGTGTGCAGTATCACTTTAAGCACAAAGGAGTTATTTGTGCAGTAATTTAGGATGAAAAATTACATATTACTCTGACACAGTTCTGAGAACAGCGTGGGTCAGAGAGGGGCCCGAAACATCCCGTAGATAAAAACGGATGAAAGGGCAGGGAGATGACCAGGAGGCTGCTGAGCAAATATCCTGGACTGATACTCCACTGTACAGAGCAGTGGAGGAAGAGAGCCCCCTTGTGGAATGAGCTGACAGTACAGCTGGAGGCTGCAGACCTGATGAGATGTAAGCCTGCGAAATCGCTTCACAAATCCAATGTGACAGCCTCTGAGAGGACAAAGGTTGTCCTGCAGACTGCTCTCTGTAGTGAACAAMTAAACACTGAGAGCGCTTAAGCTGTGCCGTGCGTGAGACATAACACGAGAGTGCGCGCACGGGGCACAGCAGATGAGAAGCTGCTTCCTCTTCTGAACTGTGAGGAGGAAGACAAAAACCGCTCAGAGTAATAACTCTGGAGCTGTAAGAGCTTGTGATGCTCTTAGGCATAAAAACTGGATTGGGACGTAAAGTCGCCGAGCCGCCATCTTCCCGTATCCTGAGGCAGGAGGGAGACACTGACAGAGCGGACAGCTCGCTGACTCTCTTTGCTGATGTTARCGCTAACAGCAGCGCTGTTTTTTGAGATAAAAACTTTAATGAGACCTGATCCAAAGGCTCAAAAGGGGCTTTAGTCAAAGCGTTTAGCACCAGTGTTAAATCCCACTGCGGAACAAATGTGCGCGTGACAGGTCTGTGCCTGCGCACTCCCTTTAAGAACCGTTTACCAACGGATGATTAAAAACCATCCTGTCACCAAAGCCCACGTGACAGGAGGAAATTGCCGCAGCATAAGTTTTAACGGTGCTGAAGGCTAAACCTCTGTCCATTAGCATCTGWAGGAAGGACAGAATGCAGGACAAGGAGCAGTGACCTGGATCTGCAGTTTCTTCTACACACCAGCGCTGGGAGGATGACCACTTGGCTGTGTAGGAAGAGACAGTGGATGGTGCGCGTGCATCCTGGATGGTGCGCACCACATCAGCAGATAGACCCAAGTCTATTAAGCGTTCCCGCTCAGCGGCCAAGTCCAGAGGGGCTGGCCCAGTCTCGGGAGGCTCCTGATCGCTCCTCCCGCCTGCAGGAGAGCGTCCTCCTGCCAGGGGAGTTGGAGCGGGGGCCCGACAGTAATGACTGGAGGACCGGGAACCAGTGCGCTCCCGTGTGCTCGGGAGCGATCAGAATAACCCGCCGGCGGTCCGTTCTGATCCGATCCAGCAGACGCGGGATCAGAGGGACAGGAAGGAAAGCATAAAGCAGCTTGTCCGGCCAGGGACGGTGCGCAAAGGCGTCCACCCCCAGAGGAGGGTCGTCCCGTGAGCTCAGAGAGAACCAGAGATCGCACTGTGCGTTTTCTCTGGTGGCGAACAGATCCACTTCCGCCTTGCCAAATTTGTCCCAAATTTGCATGATTATGGTCATGTTCAGGGCCCAGTCCCCATCCTGGGGGCCCCCCCTGGACATGATGTCTGCCCCTCTGTTCAGCACACCC